AGACGCTTTTCTGATGAAGGGTCTAGGCCCGAAACGTCAGCCTCTCTGCTCCTATGATGCTGCTTGGCCTGCTGTGTTCATCCAGCCCTGCACCTTGTTGTCTCGCTGCTACCTACTTGTCCACTTCAGGAATGCATCAAAAGATTTTTTTCTCTCTCATTAATTTTGTCCCCTTCATCGGAAGGATGTGCTAATTCCTTGCTTGGGTACAGTCCTACAAGTGGCATTTACTGTCTGGTACCTCACTGAAAGCAGCCTTCTTCACAAATCACATTTGACTGTGAGTATTCACAGATGGATACCACAGCTGAACTAATGTGATGCTTAACCAATTCCAACATATTATATCTTACACCAGTGGTCACTAAATAGCCTTTCAGAACAAGGACATTTTTTAATTTATCCCTTCTTAACTCAAAGATCAATTTGAATGGACTACTGTTTTGGCCAAAGTTCATTAATTCAGCACATAGAGATTCATAGAGATCAAACGTGGGACCTTTCTCAGGATATTCCAATTGTTTTTACATTCAGTTAAGTACTTTTGAACAGTATTTACTGTTGTAATCTAGAAAGTACAGCAGCCAATTTGGTTCTACAAAGCACCAAGAGGCAGTGGGATAATGAAAAGATAATCTATTCATTCATAATAATGACTGGGGAGTCAAATATTGGTTTGGATACTAGTGAGAACTCAATGCTGAAGTATTGATGTAATATTTTAACATGTTTTGAGTCAGTCTTCTGAAGGACATTTCTCATGCCTAGTTGCAGACAAGTCATAAGCATATCTTTGTACATCTAGGTTTTCCTGGAACAAGTCATTAGCTTGTTACCAGAGGTCATAGTTTGATAGGCTGCTCCACATCAAGAATGGCTGACCAAGAGACTCTCCCACACTTACTGCCTGTTATAGATATATTGGGAGAACTTCCAGATTGATAATCCACCTCATTGACTGCATTATGAAAACATCTTCCATGGCCTTCAAGACTTGGAGAGGAACCCAGAGATTCTGGTTTAAAGGCAGGAACACTAACCACTGTCCCCACCAGATCTGCCCTGGGAAATCATATACAATGAAATTGAATTCTTGGTCTCCCTGTTACCCATGCACTATCTTCATGTTGTTAATTCTCTCTTATTCTGTAATTTTACATCTCTCATTGTCATTTATGTTCCTCTCCCCTCAGTTTTTTTCATCATAATCTTTCTTTCTATGCTAGTGAGCAACAAAAAGTTATATGGTTTAGCACGCTGAGAAAAGGAACTACCAGCACTGGCTACATTCGTACTGACAGCTGTCAGGAAAATGCAATCCTAACCTCCTTTCCCATCCCCTTCCCTAGTCATTCTTACTATCCACCAACCCCATATTCCCAATATGTAAATCTTCTTCATACCCTCTCACTCCTATCACCACTAGTACCTACCCGCTTTGAACTATTCATGCAGTCTCTTCATCCTTTTTCTTTTGCTTGGCTATTATTCAGCTAATTGTTAATTTTACATCTATCTGTCCCACCCCCATTCAGTTATTTCAAGGACAGGCTAAGAAAGCCAAAGGCCTCTTTACCCTGAAATGTTTCTCCAACTACTCCAAATCTATTTTTGCATCTGTTGCCCTCAGAGTGCTTGCTAGTTTCAACTAGTGTGTAGTCCGCAATATCATTTTCTCTCACACACACTTTAGAGACAACGTACTGATTCAACTGAGTTTTTAAATTCTCAATATAAATATTACTTCAGTAAAGCTCTTTAAATGTGTCCTCTTGCTCTTTTTAAATAATCTTGAAACCCTTTTGAGCAAGAACTGCTTAAAGCTCAAGACATGTATTCCGAGCATCATTAGCTGAAAGCAACAATGGCATCTTTGAAACAAAGTTAAGGTGATACAATCCAAATGCAGCTCAGAATTACAGCTCCAAATGCAGCTCAGAATTAC